GCACGATGTTTAGTTTTCTGTGTCACCCGAGCCAGACCACAGACCCAGTTACTCCCGGAAACACCTACCTGGGTACTGCTGCAAAGGTACTTTGTAGATGGGATTCACACCTACGACCAGTTGACTTTACATAGCGAAGACTACCCTCCTTAATGAGGGTGTGCCTCATCCAATCAGCTGGAAGGCCTTGCGAGCAAAAACTGATTTTCCCAGAGAAGTTCAGCCTCTCAAGACTGTAGCCTCAATTCCTGTCTGGGTTTCTAGGCTGCTCTTCTGTCCCACAAATGTCACCCTTGCCAACCTCACCCCCTCATCACGTGAGCTAATTCCTTACCAGAAATTTCTCAATAGATAGAGAGAAGTAGAGATACATCCTATTGGTTCTAATTCCCTCGTGAACCCTAACTGATACAAGTAGTTCACCCCTCGGGGTTCCTGTGCCAACTGGAGCAGAGAATTGTGAAAAGGACTTCTCCGCGCCTACTCACAGCGGGCACACGAATACCCTTATTGCCCTACCGCCTTTCTATAAGGTTCTGCTGAGCTGCTGGACACAGAATCTCCAGGGCCTTCCCTCTCCTGAGGAAAAAATCCCCACAAAATCAAATGCACATGAGTGGATAGTGTATAAGAGTCCCCTCACCAGCTGGAGTGGTTGATGATACATCCGCTCAGTGGAATGTTCCACAGTCATTAGGACCCTTTCCACAGAGGTCTGCCCTGAGGACACTCCCTGCCACCTCTCCCTGCTTTATTTATCCTGGCACTTCCCACCCTTCTAGGCTGTACACATTCACTGGGTTTACTGTTTGTCTCCTCCTTTTAGAAAGTCATTTGCCTGAGGGCAGGGGGTTAAATTTATTCCTTTCAATGTAGAATCCCAGTCCCTGGAACAATTACTAATATATAATTGGTATTCAATAAGCATTGATTGAATTAAAGCAGGGATGAATGAATAATGAATATTATAACGTAATCCGCGAAAAATGTTTATGAACTCCAACTTTTTATTTTATTTTTATTGAATAATAGTAAAGCAAAGTTCATTGAGCAATAGTACAAAGCTCCCAAAGAGGGAGGGAACCGGAGAGGGTTGCACTGAACTCTAACTTTAAATGAAGACAGCAGATCATAAAATATGCACATCACAATCTAACCACAAGCTCAGCAAATGCGTACTAAATCCACCGCATGCCCTTCATTGTGCTAGAACTGGAGATAGAACTTTGAGTAAGATCTTTTTTTTTTTTAATTTTTAAAGGGGTTCATGGTCTAGAGAGAAGACAGGATACTAAGACCATGGTGGAAGGCTGTGAGTTAAGTGCCCACACGAGATTTATGAAGTGATGACGGAGCCATGAAGCTGGGACCCTGGCGACAACAGCTCTCAAGCATTGAGCCTCAAGTGTTGAGCCTTCCTGTGGCCAGGCACCCTGATAAGCTCTTCATATACCTCATCTCAGATCATCTCAACACCACAGTGGCTTTAGAAACAGAGAAGCTAAGGCACAGTGAAGTTAAGGAGCTTATCAGTTTAGGGTCTCATAACCAATCAGGGCAGAGATGGACTCAGAAGCCAAGTTGGTCTGCGTCCAGAGCCTGTGTTCTTAGCACTGGGCCGCGTGCTTCCATCATTTGTACAGAGAGTGGAAACTCAAGCACAGGATGAACAGAAGTTTGATGGGTCAGAAAGGAAAATGCTAGAAGAAAACTTAACTTAGGGGCACCTGGACGGCTCAGTCGTTAAGCGTCTGCCTTCGGCTCGGGTCATGATCCCAGGGTCCTGGGATCGAGCCCCACATCGGGCTCCCTGCTCAGCG